ATATATATATATATATATGTAGAAAAATCAGGTTTTATATAATTATGTCATACAAATATTCATTACGCTCCCAAATATTGAAAGAAAAAGAAACGTTTAATTTTGATCAAATTTGAATAAGCAGTATTAAAGCGATTTATTCTTGCTTCATAACAGTGTTCGGAACAAATTAAACTTTTCGACCAATTTTTGCGGTCAATACATTTCATTATAAAAATTTATAATTGTTACTTTTTTATTTAATTAAATATTTTCTATGTTATTGAGACGGAAAACTGTTTTATATCCACAAACAATAAAAGATAGTAAATTGTAGCTAAAATTTAAATATTATTTATTCGTTTTATTTTATAATAAATACTAAAGTGTTTAAATCTAAGACGTTGAAAACTGTAGTCATGATATAATTAGCAACTGAATGTAAGAATATGAAAATCAAACCAATAATTTGGTGTATATTGCGATGGAGAATGAAAGAAATGACGATAACAATGGTGGCGTATCTAAAATATAAATGAGATGAAGAATTAGGCATGTAAGAATTTATATTTCTGCAATGAGAAAATATCTCAATTGCAATACTAACAAGTTTTATGTTTAAATGCATTAGAAAAATGCTCATATTTCACCGGTGTAGCCATATAGATCATAGTATTAATTATATTAACCATAATCTTCATTAATTTCTTGTACATTATTTCTCAAAACATTATTTATCTGCGTAACGAACGCGCTGTAATGCTTCTGTCTGCCCCTCTTTCTCTCTCAATCATATCATAGTTCTCGCTCTCACTCCCTCTCTTCCGCTCGACAACTCTCTTTCTCTCTCTCTATCGCACGCGGCGCGCTCTTGCTCTCCCGAAATCGTTTACTATACATATTTCGCATCAGATTTTACCGATTGTCTTGATAACTGTTAGGTAGGTTTAAAGGCTGTCAGTATTTACATACAAACAAAAAACTGTACGTCTCTTTCCTCGATCTCCTCTATCAGAGACTTTTCAACGAAGTAATGCTCGCATCGTGTTCAGTTAAATACGTTTTATCATACAGATCAGATCACAATGAGTTTTGAAGAGCGAATTCTAAAAAAGAACCCCTGGGTAGAGAAATGTTTTATTAAAACGGCCAATTTTCGAGTACTGTATAAAGAACCATCTTGCCAACTAAACGAAAATAGTTTTAAATACGTGGAGTTTAAATATCTTCATTTTAAGAAGCACATATATAACAAGCATCTAGATTGTCATCGGTATAATGAGAAGAAGAAAAACAAAGACTGGAATGAGAAATATCTTAGACTAACAACAGAAAAAAACATAGCATGTATTATATGTGATATTTTCCCAAAGAATTATTCACAAAATGAAAATTTATCGGAACACGTAATAAAGCATTCAAAACTAGAACAAGATCTAGTACACCATAAAAATGATGATTGGTGTTGGAAATACTTGGAACAAACTGAAGATTTTTCTGGTCAATGTAAACTTTGTACATATATATCACAAAAAGATGAACTTTCTGTATACATTAATACAATGAAACAACACATTTTATCACATCATGAAGAAAAGCGCCACTTAATAGATCCTTGATATAAACAATCTTGGGAATTTCAAATTGAAAACAACTATTGGTTGATTAAATGTTATAGAAAGCCTGTAAATTTTCTAGCACAATGTAAATTTTGCGAGAAAGAAGTTACATATGTCAAACCTGAAACCATTGAGCATCATATGGGGGAGAAACATCCATCAATTACCAACATTGAAAAACCTAAATGGCAGGCATATGACATATACTGGCAATATTTAAGGTTTACTATTTTTTTTATCCTTACTATATATGTATATTGATTTCTATTAATTGATACGTAAGCATTGTAATCTTCGAGTCTCTTAATTGCAAATCTTGTGATTCGAAAGTTTCTCCACTAATTATTAAAAACTGTTTAATTAATTAACAGATGTCATTATTTTTTATTATAACTTTACGTATTTTAATCTCATTGTTGTTGCTAAAAACATTTTCCATTCCGCTCTCTTTCTTTACAAAGTGAATGCCAAGTGATACGAGCTGCGAGTATAGTCAGCCGAGAGGGTTTAATCTCGACATGGATGAAAAACGAAACGTAATGTGGTCCACGCGACTATGTTATCACCGCGAGAGCGAATTCCGCTGTTAATTATCGTCCGGCGAAAAGGGAAAGTAAATGTCGCTCGTCGCAATTGCGTAACAAATTTTGCGTATTTTATTTAAAAGATGTGTCTTCGGTGATTCCACTCGGTTTTTCAATCATCTTCTTTCTCGGGGACGTTTTTTTTTGTTTTTTTTTTGTTTTTTTTTAATAAACGCAGCAAAAACTTTTATTACAAGAACAATATTTACATAATGTTTACAGAGCTGTAAAATATATCTTAATTCTTATATATAAAAGATTCGAATACGACACGTTGTACAAAAGGCCGAGGAACATTTGCTTTCCCTTCTAACGTCGCTGAACGGACGAACTGATAAGAAAGAGACTTACCTTGATGGTCTCCTGAGGGGAGTACCTCGCAGGGCGTTGGGCTGGAGCCTGGGCCTGCAGGCTCATCGCTGTACCATCACTGCGAAACACCCGATATCCTGCGGCAAAAAGACATATTTCGTTATTTTTATTCTATTCCTAAAGATTTATTTTCCTAATTTTATAATATATATAATATACAGTATTAAAAATGAATTATATAATTGTTTTTAATTTTTGTGGAATGAAAATAACGAAAAAATATATAAAAAGTGCGACAGACGTCGCACATTTCTAATATACATCCAGTACATAATTTCAACATACAGGATATTCAATAAAAAACCAATAAAGTTCGAGCATCTTGAAAACAAACTTTGTTTCCTCGCTTCTAATATTTCTCGTACGTGCGCTGTTTTTTCTTTCGCGATAAGTTTTAATTGGTTCGATACGCGCTGTTGTGCAAGAGAAGCTAAATGAGCAATGAAATAACGAAGCTGTTTGTTAAATAAAAAAAAAAAGATTCAATGTAGCGTTAATAAAAATCTAGGAAGAGTATTATTTCGTTGAAATAAAACAAATAACGTATTCCCGTCTTTCTACTATTTCATCGCCATTTATCTGGGAGCGCATTGTATTTTTCGGCCGGCGTGAATGGTTTTCCGAGGAGATTCAACGATTGTTTCAGGATGCCGAGATCCCAGACCGAGAATCGCGCGCAGTGACGAGAAGCAACAGAGCGCGTGCCTCCTGGTTGGCTACTGGTCGGCCTGTCAATACGAAGAGGTACGTGACTCAGGTACCAAATGACACATCCGGTCGAAGGGAGGACGACGGCGGTCGTCTCTCCCTCTCTCGATCCCTCTTTCGAGATCCACCCCGTTTCGCGCTGACGTGTTGCCGAAGAAACTGCGCGTACCGTCGCTCGCGAGAGCTATTTTTCTCGCCGAAAATTTTATTCTTTTATCAACGATAAATCTCTTCGTTCTACAAGCAACTATACTTGTAACATAAAATTTTAATACAAATTCCAAAAATGTGCGAATTTTGCGTTATTAATGAAACGGATAATTTCAAACTCTTTATTTTATAACATTATAATAAATTAATTTTTTTTTCTCAATTTTTCTGTAATAGTTTTTAGGTTTGCAGAAAAGTTACACGCAAACAAAAAATTATGCGTGGACAAATATGATCAAATTGTAGACAATTAAATGCCGCATAAGTTTTATAAAAGTTCGCATTTTGTTGTTTCATGTTTTACTTTTTTGAAATTGTGTATTTTCCAATAATATTGTTAAACAGAAAAAAAGACATAGAGAAGAATGGGAGAGAGGAAAGGGAGGAGACAAACAAGAGGCGGGAGAAGAGCTAATCGGGCGAAAAGCATAATTAATCACGGCAAATTCATCGTAATCAACGATGCACGCCGGCTGTCCCCACTGGCTGCGAGCATAAGCACCGTTAATGCACGACAAATGGACACGTATAGTGTTCACGGATCATCCGCGATTACGATTGTTCTCGCGTTCGCCCACCATCATTGCGATCGATAGCAACATCGGTGATAACATTCCGCAATCCTCGAATTCCGATGTAAGATTCGAAATTTTTTAACTCCTAATTCGATCAAAAAATTTCCTTGCTGCCTACAATATATTCTAACTTAGAAATTTTTATTTTAACAAGTCGTCTTTATAAATACAAAATCCTGCTATACATAATTTAACATTACAGCGAAGAATTATTTGCGCTTTAGAAATCTTAAATTATATTATTCAACATTGTTAAAAATGTTGAAAAACTATTGAATAAAGCATCTTGAAAGGTCAATTATGCAAAAACAATTTTAGAAAATAAATGCAATCACCTCGACGACGTTTCGTCTAAAAAGCATGCTCATCTTCACTCAATATGAAGGTTCGCGGAGGATATTGGTCCCTTCTTAAGCCTGTAACCCGCAGGGTCATAAAACCGATGGCGTAACTAATCGTCCGGCATGCTATTAATCCATTTATGGCGATATAATACGGCAGCGGATCGCCGAGGGCGGCAGGAAGCGCATTAAAATACGAGAGTGCCAAGTATCATGGGAGTCTGCTGGCGTCGAGGCTCATTAGACAACACGAACGGGACACCCCGTACATCGCAATCAACTAGGACTCACACTATGCTGCGAGCACGTTCGACCGGAAACTAATGACCTTACATTATTCTTTCCGCCAGATCTTGGTCTTTCACTCTGTCCTCGATCGAGTTTGCCTGATCAATCAAAGAAAATTCCGCGCTTTTTATACTCCTCGAGAGATACAATCGTATTCGGTTCGATTTTTTGTCTCTCTTTATTTTTATACGCATTTGTTTATTGATTTAAAGCAATGCATAAAATGCATAAAAAATGGAACAAAATTATGAATTATAAAATGACAATCAAATTGACTTTATTATTCATGTCTTCATTACTTAAATATTTATATTTCACATCGACTAATCATTAATTAAAGACAATTACACGTAAAAATGGCATTTATTATATTTACACGCAATGAATAGATTATTAATTACTCTCTAAATTTCTTAGAGTGCAATTTAACTCCAAACGAGTAGATATTTACTCCAAGCGATAGTGAAAATACTGCCACTCGTAAATAGTAAAAATTTACTTTTCACAAAAGTGATTGTTTAACTCTAACGTAGAGTAATGTATTAGCATGCTACATACGACGTAAAGCTTTGATTAGTTGAAATAAGAAGCAGTGTCGTTGCTTCTCATTTCAACTAATCGAAGCTGCACGTCACAAGTAGCATGTTACCTTAGTGTGAAAATCTGATTAAGTCTCCTTTCTTCTTGTCGCAGCCATATAATGAGACGATTACAAGAGACGCATTTCTTGACAATAGTTATCATAAATTATTAAATCAATAAAAAAACAGAGACGAATCTGTTGAATAAAATGAAGGCATCGGCAAAACGTTTGTTTTAAAATTATGCGCATTTCATTCGCTCTTCATGTGAATGAAATATTCAGTCCACACTGCATACAGTGAAAATATTCACTCTACAAAATAAAGCACACATAATCACTCCACTTTGCAGAGTGAAAAATTCACTCTACAACAAAAAGAGAGAGAATTAACTTCGTATGAATGAAAAGTCATTCTAACTCGAGTGACACGACCAGTCACTCGACTTTTCGAGTGTGTTATCACTCTAATTTAAAGAGTAGTATTAATTATATTAACCATAAATTCCATTAATTTCTTGTATATTATTTCTCAAAACATTATTTATCTGCGTAACGAACGCACTGTAAAGCTTCTCTCTGCCCCTCTATCTCTCCATCATATCAGTATAGTTCTCGCTCTCACTCCCTCCCTCCCTCGCGACCACTCTCTTTCTCACTCTCTCTCTCTCTATCGCACGCGGCGCGCTCTTGCTCTCCCGAAATCGTTTACTATACATATTTCGCATCGGATCCTACCGTCGTGTCCTACTTGTCTTGATAACTGTTAGGTAGGTTTGAAGGCTGTCAGTATTTACATACAAACAGAAAAAACTGTACGTCTCTTTCCTCGAACTCCTCTATCAGACACTTTTCAACGAAGTAATGCTCGCATCGTGTTCAGTTAAATACGTTCTATCATACACATCAGATCACAATGAGTTGGGAAAAACGAGTTCACCCCACGATAGTGGAATGTTATACAAAAAAGAAAAATTTTCGAGCACAATGTTTAGAACCATCTTGTAAAAAGATCTATAAATACGTGCGGAATAAAAATACAAATTTTGAAAATCACCTACGTGAAAAGCATGAAGATTTTTGTTAGCATGAAGAGAAAAAGAAGAAAAGCAAGGCCTGGAAATATTTTAGGCTAACAACAGAAAAAAACAAAGCATGTATTATATGTGATATACTTGATACCCCAATTAAATTTTCACAAAATGAACACTTATCGGAACACATAAAAAAACATTCAAAACAAGAAAAACAGCTTGGATACCTAAACAACGAAGAATGGTGTTGGAAATACTTCAAACAAGTTACAGATTTTTCTGCTGAATGTAAGCTTTGTGTGAATGAAACAAAAAGAATAAAATTAAGTTTAAGAACATACTTTTTAAAAAAACACATGGTGTATGAACATGGAAAAGAGTGGCCAGTAATAGAGGCAATAGATACACAGTCTTTGAAATATCAAACTAAACAACACTACTTTTAAAATAAATGTTATACAAAGCCTGCGCATTTGCTAACAGAATGTCGATTTTGCAATTCAGAATTTCCATATGTCATAGCTAATTCACTTAAAATACACGTAGAAAAAAAGCATAAATCTATTTGGAAAAAAAAAAAATCTAAAAAAAAGGCACATGGCAAGAACTGGTTATATTTTAGGTTTACGAAAAAAAAAAGAAATAGAATGTATTTTATGTAAAATACTTGTGCCAAATGACCAAATAAAGAATCACGCAAAAAATCATACTAAAGAAAATTCACCATCCTAAATATTTCAACATTGGTCATATAAATACGCAAGACAAGAAGAAGATAATATCAAATGTACAATTTGTGCAAAAAATATAAACGTTTATCTTAACCAAACGAAATTAAAAAAACATATTTCTGATGAACATAAAGACGAGATGAAAAGAATAAACGAAGAAGAAATATTTTGGAAATCGCAAACTGAAAAGAAAAGCTGGTTGCAAGAATATTATACAGATGCTGGTGATTTTCGAGCAGAATGTAAATTTTGCGAACGCAAAGTAGTATATATCAAAGAAACACAATTTAAAAACCACGTAAACGACGTGCATGATGAAGTTCACCATCTTGAAGAACATGAAAATCCACATAATATCTACCTAGAACAGTGAAATTATGTAAGGTACACATTAAACACTGTATTGAATAAACTTATCACAAAATGCATGATATGTCAAAAAAATGTCACACTACCTCACATAGATCATAATCCACGCGAGATAGTAAACTATGCTCATCATTGAGCACTTAAATACGCGAGACAGAATGGACATGTTGCGAAATGTACGATATGTGAAACACCAGTAGACTTTGAATGTGACGTGGACAATTTAGAAAACCACGTATCATCTGTACATCAAAAAGAATTGAAAAAAAGACAAGAAAAAGAACAAAAGATAAAACAAATAGAACAAGGAACAGCACACGATGAAGCTACACCGTCGACAAGCTACGCAAGTTAAAAAAAAACGATTGTAAGTTTTAATCATATTTTATCAATTATTATTGCTCAGTAATATTTGTCATAAAACTTTATTCTTGTAGTGGTGTACTCAATCAAACTATGATAAAAACACAAAATCAAATAATTTATATTTGCTTTAATATATTACAAATGTTTATATAGATTTATCTACATTGGACAATGGAAATGATGGTAGCGACATTTTCAAGTAGCATCTCATGACCAGCGATAACGACAGTCTTGACTTTGACTTAAGTGATTTGAAATACATGAAGACATTGGAGTATAACTTGACTTATTTGTCGCATATCGGTTTTGTGTTTATAAATGTACAAGATTTGAAAATTTAAATACATATATATTTATAAATTTATAACAACAAAATTGTTAAAATTTATTAAATTATATACACAATTATAGATATTACTTTAAAACTTAGATATCCTTCATATTATGCTTTAAAATACAAATAACTGTGTAACTACATTTATAAAAACTAAACCG